CTTTATGTTTAAGTTAGAGCCTGTTTTGCTTATTCCTGGTCACATCTCACAGCAGACACCAGGGTGAGGCATTTTCATGGGGGGGCACTGGCTCTGTGCCAGGCTCAAACCATGACACTGAATTATCATGTGATATCTCTAAAATTTTTAATTCTTCAAAGTCATATAAATAAAAATAGAATAAAGCCCCCTTCCACTTGAAGTTTACTCTATTGTGAGATATAGTTACAGCTGCTTTATTGATGAAATGCTGTTGATTTTCAGAAGTGTATGCTGCCCTGGCTCCTGGATGGAGCCTTGGGGCTTGAGCACCTGAGTGAAAGGTGTCCTGCCCAGGGAAGGCAAGGCTGGAATTAGATCATCATTAAGGACCCTTCCAACTCAAATCATTCAGTGTTTTTGTATCTGCAGACATTTATGCAAATCAATTCCTGTATCCTGAAATAACCAACCTTAGCTTCAGGTGTGCAATCAAAGGGTATTGATCATGGAAAAATTGAAAGCATCTGTTGCTGGAAGAAATGCAGGGTTTGGTAAGAGCTGGGCCTTGCTGAACTCTTCATGTGCTGAGGAGCTGGGAGCACTCAGAGCTGATAACCTGGGTGCAGGCTGCCACATCCACCCATGTTGGGTGTGCCAGGTCACCCAAATGGAAAGGGAAGGTGACAGAAATGCGGATTCTCAGGCTATGTCAGGCCCTGGCTTCCAGCTGGGAGTAGCTGTGGGGGCAGGGAGCCCTGAGCAGCCAGGGGAGCTGCTGTGGAGGAGCATGGCTCAGCTGGGTCTCTCAGGATGGCTGCTGTGGGGCTGCAGTGCTGGCTCTGGCACTGCCCAGGGGAACCAGCACTGCAGCAGGCCCCGAGCTGGTGAGGGATGGCTCCTGGTGTGCTGCAGCACACACACAGGATTTACAGGGGGGTTTCAGTACTCAGGGAGCCCTTCCTGGCCTCCTGCTTCCTAAAGCCTTTAAAACCTGATGCACTTTCCATCACTGGAAGAGTTTTGTCCTGGCTGTTTCTGCCCAAGGCAGCTCTCCCAGAACCTGTGGGCCGCTAATGGAAGCGGGCAGCACTTTATGCCTGCCCTGCGTCCTGGCCCAAGACAAATCACCCTCCAAAGCCCATTACAAGGCAGTCAAGGAGAGGCTGTTTCTTCAGCAGAATGTTCTGTAATGCAGAGAATTTCATTCCTTTGTCTGGAATGGAAAAAGTGTCTTTCCAGGATGTAATGCCATGAGAGCTGGGCTCTGAACTGCATTAGAGACCCACCCTAAATAGCTGACTGCTCTTTTGTGAAGCACTGCTAATCAAACTCCTGTAACAAAAAAATTGTCAGAATGGACTTACACTTCTAAAAAGCCCTCCAGGGTCAGTAAAAATCATTAATTCTTTTTCAAAAAGCATTCAGCTCTCTGAAACATGAGGAAATGTGTGAGGCTTATTCTCAAGCCCCTCCACTCTCTCCATTTATCTCAAAAAGTTTGTTAATTTTTAATATAATCTCAGAACTCTGGGAACTTGGGCATCAAAAATTCACTCACTATAGTACTCAAGATATGAGAATTGACACTGAGCAGATATTTTCTTCTTGCATAGGAATGCCATAATTTTGAATCAACTATGGACAATACAGTTAAGAGAAATGAGGTGAGGAAGTCACATAAAAGAAGCAAGAAAAACTATTTTTTTTTCTAGTTACTTTTTCTCCCTACTCCTCTGCAAAATGCATTATTTATGGAACATGTTGTTTTCTGTGGCTGACTTATGAAAAAGCTTTGAATCAACAATTTGGTAAACCCATTATAAGGATCATTTTATAACTAGTAAGAACAATGTTGTTCAGAGACATTTCAAATGCAATGAACATTCAGAAGAAACAATAATAATTATGGCAGATGGCAAGCAGAGACATAACTTGCTTTGAGTGCAAAACTGCAGCTCAGAAGGCTAATTTGGTTTTTTTTTAACTCATAGGTTATCTGCCAGAGGTTCTTACATACCAGATGTATGCAGTTAATCTCACAGAAATCAATGAAATTGCATGCAGAAGTGTGAGGCTAAAAGAAGGTAACTTCCATTTAATAAAGTTCCCTGCTTTATCTTGGTTCTATATTTCAAAGGCTCCTCAGCAATATTTACCTTAAAGGTGACTGTTTGTGTCACTCGCTCTGCCTGCACAGTGTCAGAGGAAGCTGTAGCCCAGCTCTTCTCTGCCACTGTTCTGCTGCCATGAAATCCAGCCTTGACTAGAGAAATAGAACCTCAATAGGTCCCCTGTTGAGGACCTCAAAGGCAAAGTTAAATATGTAAATAATTTCCCTAACCAATGTAGCTATTTATGTTTACTTCCATTGGCTACAAATAGTCTGAGTGTGGGGGTTTTTCATAGTCAATATTGCTATTTTGTAGAAAAAATATTGAGTTTTGACAGAAATTGTTTTCACAAGTATATCACTTGGATTTATTATTTTCCTTCAAAAATAGAAATGGTTGCATAGGCCAGTATTTGAACTGATAATAGGACATTTAATGAAAAAGTTCTGCTACAGTGCATAATGGGAATCATGGCTGTCTTTTCTTAGATGATAAGACAGAGATTTCAAGCTCCATTGAATTGCTCTTGATGTGTTCTGACCAGAGAATTCCATGATATACCTGGCTTCTCTGTGATGCAAAAGATTATGCTGCAACAGTGACACAATGTGCAGCCTAAAAGATAAATCTGTGAGGAAAATTAATAAGAAGAAATATTAGAAGGATACTTCCTCTTGCTCTTCTCTTTGGCAGTGTTTCTGAAGTGAAATATTTTGTTCTGAAGTAATTTTTCACTTTTTAAAAATTTTAATGTCATTTTTCTGGCAAAAGTCCTTTCTTTTCTGCCAGATTCTTTAGTGAGATATTTAGCATTAGTTACTAAAAATGAAGCTGTGTGGCAGGTTATATTATGAATGTACATTACTGGTTTTTACTTGACAAATGAAGCTTTAAAAATGACTTACACTTGAAACAAAAAAAAATTGTGTCTCCTTATGTATCTAAGCCATGGACCCAGAATTAATTTCTGTTAATTTTTGTTCATATTCTTATTAACAAAATGTCAAACATATGGATGTTTTAAAAAGGAAACAAAAAAGGGTGGTAAAACATTAAATCATATTTCTAATTAGAAACTAATTGAATATCTTTGGTGATGTTAATGTTCTCACACTGTTGCATTGGCAACTCTTGGCAAATATTTATTTTTCTAGTGGTAACTAGCCTATGGTCGTTCCAGTTCCAATGGACTGGAAATTGCATTTAATGCTGGTAAAAAGAATACGACTCTGAATTGGAGTTGTGAACATGAACTTAAGCGTCAGATGAGTATGCTGGACATTTTCCTTGGTCCTTTCTTCCATAAGTGAAGGAAAGCTTGCAATGAGAGATGGAAAGGTGCTGTGGTTGAGCTCACCAAGCTGAATGCCCCATGGGAAATGTTTGGGGTTTGCTGAGTGTGTGAATTGGATCCCGTGGAAGCTGCTCAGCTGCAATAAGAATAAACAGGGAATGCTAAGTGAAATGATGTGACAAATACTTAGCAGGGAATCTCTGGTCTGATTTATCCTAGAAGTAATTTTTTTCATATCTCAAAAAGCAGCAAGTTAGTAGTCAATAGAGGATCTCTACATAGATCATTTGCATGAAGGGAAAATTGCTTCAATCAGTGTAACATCTCACTGGTATTGATGAAGAGTACCAGCAGTCAGATGAAAGGCAGTCTGTTGAAATCATTAGATACTGGTTTCTTATCCCAGCAGGATTTCCAGCCCTGACTTGATGGTCTCTTTAGGTTGTGCTGGTTTTATCCTGGCTAGTCCTTGAGGAGAACAAATTTTTAATGTCTGGTACAGTTCATGAGAACTGTAGATAATAACAAATGTGTGAGCTACATGCTGTAAGCAGCTCATGTGGCTCATGTTCCCCTGTAAAGGAGATGTTACAATAGCACATGGAAGGAGAAAGCTGGAAATATGTACCAGTGGAAAAGAAAAATCTCCAAACCCTAAAGCTGAACAATAAGGACCCTCTGTAGAATAGCAATACCATGATTTAGCAAAACATGGAACAGCCACAATTTCCAGATTAAAGAAGAAAAGTTATTTGTTGGATGTCAGGATGATGAATAGATTGGTTTTGCATTGCATCAACACTGCTTTTATTTTCAGTATGTTGCAGCATTGAATCAACATGTTACAGTTGCTGAATGCGACCCCATAGAAACGAAGGCTTGTTAGGCCAGTAGCAAGAACAGTAATTCATTATCAGTGACACTTTCAATTATTACAATGAATAGGTGCCCTGAAAACATATTTTCCAAAAGCTTGTTTCCACCCTGTACTTTGAAGAGATGTTGAAAACTCTCCTGGTGACTGTTCCAGCTGTGGATTTCTCTGTCCTGGTACATGCAAATTGCCTCAGGCCTGCTTCAGGGTTTCACTACTGAAAGAATATAAGCAGCAAAGTCAGCAGCAAACGGCTTGTGTAGAAGTGAGATCATATCAGAGATCACAGCAAAACAGTTGGAAAAGACCTTATAAAATGGAAAGGACCTCTGGAGGACATCTGGTCAAATCCCTACTCCAAAAGGGACAAATTTGAAAACTTTCTTGGGACACTGTTTGGTGGGGTTTGCACAGGAACTTGCTTTAGGAACAGGTACATGATCAGGTTTTGCTTGATTTAGCTCCAGGTAGATGATCTGCTGCATTTTGATTGTTTGCACAGGCATTCTGAGTCTGGATGTTTGAGGTGTATCTGGGCAAGACAAATTGACTGGTGTCTGGAGTGTGTTGCAGGAACATCTTTGTTCTGATTTCCTCATTTACTTCTATGAATGATTCTGCCATGCAGAAGAGGGATTGTTAAAGGGAAGATCAAGAGGGAAAAGGGGCAAAGTTGGTTGTCACTGTGCTTTCATGACTGTGCTTAGTTTCACAGTTGGGTATAGTGAGTAATAGCTGACAAGAAAGTGCAAACAGGAATAGGGTGTATTGAGCCTTGGCATGGTCATAGACCAACATGTTATACAAGTGCATTATTTGAAACTGCTGGGAAGATGGACAGGGATGTTGCTGGGTACTGACTGGCAGCCTGTGCCAAAGAGTGGCTGTAAAACCCTCAGGTGAGGTCCAGGGAAGATTGCTATGCAGGCACCCACCCCGGATGAGGAATGGATGAGAAGGAGGGGGACACAGAGTGAAAGTGTTGGTTCTGAGCCACTGAACAGAGCCTGGCCCCGGGTCTGGGTGCAGTGGGGTGCTGTGCTGCCCCAGGCAAGACTGAGCCAACCTGCTTTGTTGGTAACTGGGGTGAATCTTGGTTTATGTGTGCATGAGTGAAGGGCATTTTCAGCCCAAGCTCATCCCTTGCTCGCTTCCCTCAATAAGTAGAGCTTAGCACTGTCACATTGCCTGGTGTTCCCTTTCTGCAACTCAAATACATCTGAATCTCAGAATGACAAGGAGTCCAGATGCCACTGGCTCACATGCAGTCAGGCTCAGGAGCTGGAAAGTGCTATTTGGCTCTAAATCTATCATCTCAGATGCTGAGACTGTTTCTCCCTGGAGGTTTGCCTTTGCTGCAAATACTGGTCCCTCTTAACAGTTTAAAACACCTGAAATGTCAGAGGATTCCATGTCATCAGTTTTGCTTTGGTTAACTTTATGAAGCTGTGTGGCACAGAAAATAACAGCAAATGAAAACAGTGCTGGATTCTCTCTGTTCAGTGTCTGGCTACAAAAAATACCACAAGAGGGAATTTCACATTGCAGTGCTACTGCTTTATACAGAAAGGAAGGGGCTCATTCCACATAAAAATGAAGGGCTTAAGGAGCTCAGATGTGGTTCTGAACAAGTGCAGGGAATGAAATTCACCATAAAACCCTAATGGGCTTTAATAGTGATATTTAAAAAGCTTCTCCCTTTAAAGCATTGAGCCTGACTCTAATGTCAGGATACCAGCCTAACACAGATTTTATTCAGTTGAAAGAAGACCAGATTAGCCTTTTGTAGCAATATGGCATAACTCTTCCTTCTGGAATTCTTAAATTAAAATTGAAGCTGTATGATAATTCTGAATATATCCACCATAAGGCTCTCTGATAACAATTACTGGTGATCTGCTACCACTTTTTGAAGCCTATCAAGGTACTAATTTTATGGCAGTCCCTTAAGGCAGAAATCCTTATTTAAAAAAGAAAAAAGAAATAAAAAAGCAGAGTTAAATTATTTTTCCATGACTGTTTGAAGAAGAACACATTGAGATTTGAAGCTCTTACCACTCCCAGCCATTAAGTGCATTTATTTAGATCCAGAATAAGCAGGTGAAGCTAATTATTTTCCCCATATTGCTGGTGGTTTTTGTGGTAGTGCTTTCAGCTGCACAATTGTTGCCTGCTCTGTGACAGCTTGGAAATTTTAAATTACTCTTAACCTTGGCCAAATTCATAACTGATACAATTTGACATTGCTTCATTTGAATTTGCAATGTTGACTGTCACTAAAGCAAGAGATGACACATGATATCTAATGTTTAAGAAGGCAAGAAGAGTTCAGCCATACGAAAAATTGAGATGATGTGATCTTTAAATGAAGCATGTGAGAATTCTCATTTAGTGACAGGTAAATACTGAGTTAATACCAGGTTAATCAATGCTAATGGAACTGAAATGCTGCTCTAGGAAAATCCTGTGAAACCCGAGCTGGATCTGCTAGTGATACCAATAAAAATGTACTCCCACATCTTTTCTGCATGATTCAAAGATGAGAACACACAATGTGATAAACGCTTCCTTAGAGAAACTGGTCTTGCTATTTAGCTGTTTTCTAGAGATTAGGTAATAATGGAAGTAATGGAATCAGACCTGACTTCTCACTGACTCTGTTATTCAACTAACTTCTGACTCTGTTATTCAACAAGCAGTTTGTGCACTGTTCATTCTACTCTGCATATAAGGCATGGCATATTTGGATTAAGAAGCTTGATTTGATTCTAGATTGTGATAATCAAGTTGTGGAAACCTGAAATT